AAATAGGAGCACTATTTATCAATCTGTAATAAAAGACGTGAGGAAATTCTGTCTTTTTTAAAGGCAAAAATTTTTGAGGCGAAATACCCAAAAATAAGTTTGTAAAAAATATCAATTTTATATTAAGAGATGCAATGGTCACAATTGGTCGTCTAGTACCTCTATTGTTAATAAATCACCCTGTATACAAAACGCACTTTGGACCAAAGTTTTTTAAAGATTAGACGACCTTGGCTTGAACAAATTCAAAACTCATTTAAAAGCAGATTTTCGTGAACTTTTTCTTCAAATTTGCTGGTTTTTAAACGTTTTTCTGGTTAATTGTAAGTGAATGCTTGAAGCTTTAATGGGATTAAATTTCTGGTTAACCCCAGCCCGAACTTTCCAGCTTGACTTCACTTTCTTCCTGCTCTGGTTCGTCTGCTACTGCTTGTCGGTCATAACTTTCGAATGTGAAAACTTAATCCGCAAATATTTTGCTTCTTGCTCAGCTTGTTTTATTCCTTTACTTTCGTTTGTCTCCTTCTTCAGTCTGACCGCCCAAAACGTGAAGCAACGAAGACAAGTCATTGTTCCAAGGCCGCTTTCGATGCAAACAAAAAATTCCACTATTTTGATAAATTGTGGTCAAGTGGTGAATATGCGCGTTTACTGAAGCTTGTAATCGACTAATATTAACGAATTTTCTTTATCGGATCAAAATTAGAAAATTCTCATAAAAAATTCCTTGTTTAAATATCAAGAGATCGTAAAAAATGCACACAAATTACTGAAGAAGAACTTGAAACTAACCAGAACCCATTTATGGAACACAGATATGGTTTACTTGGAGCTTCGGGTTGCGGAAAAACCACTCTTCTCTCCTGCATAGTGGGTAGACGAAGACTGAACGCCGGGGAAATTTGGGTTTTGGGTGGAAAGCCTGGAACAAGAGGTTCGGGTGTTCCGGGCAAACGCGTCGGCTACATGCCGCAAGAAATCGCCCTCTACGGCGAGTTTTCCATCAAGGAAACCATGCTGTACTTTGGTTGGATCTTCGGGATGAATACGCCGGAAATCATTGACCGACTGCAGTTTCTGCTCAACTTTCTCGATCTGCCCAGCCAGAGCAGATTAGTGAAGAATCTCAGGTGAGTGTAGAAGAGTTGTAGATGGTGGATGGCTGCTAATGGGTTTTTTTCAGTGGAGGGCAACAGCGGCGAGTTTCGTTTGCAGTGGCTCTGATGCACGATCCAGAGCTGCTTATTCTGGATGAGCCCACTGTTGGAGTGGATCCTTTGCTCAGACAGAGCATCTGGAACCATCTGGTGCAAATCACCAAAGACGGCAATAAGACTGTGATCATTACCACTCATTACATTGAAGAAGCCAGACAGGCCCATGCGGTATGATCAGTGTTTTTTGCATTAAACCATTAGTAGATATTCGTGCTATCACCTGAAGTACCATTTTGGACGAAATTGCCAAATCAAAACCAATTTTTATTCATATCACGAATTATTTCGTTGCATCAGAATACAAATTGCTCTAATGGTAGACAATTTAAGGTAACCTTCATTTATTTAAATGATACAAGGATGCGTCATTTAGGCGTCTTCAAAGCGTACTTTTATGATACGCAAATTATGCAAACATTTTAACGTCAATAGATGTTTCCGAAATAGATTTCCATTTCTTCCGAAATGCTACCTGCTAATGAGACAAGACAACTGGACAACAAAACAAGGAGAAGTCCGCGTTTACTGTGTTGTACTTTCCCATTTGCAATTCTGTTTTTGTTATTTGCTTTAAGATTTTTTGGAAAAGTTTTGTCATACATCCTTCGAACCAACAGGTTTTGAAAGTGGTTCTTTGCGCCAAAAATATTTAATCTGCAATTAATGAATGGAAATAGTTGAGCAATTAAACACAATGCGATCTTGGCGAACAAACAGCGAAAGAACATGTCAATGGACATTTTTGAATGTAACAGCCGGATGTGATTAAATATGCTGTTTTAGGTTGAATTCGAGTGACAATGTGGTTGAACACTAATTTTTGGCTGTTTTCGTTAAATAAATGTTTAATTGCGGAATTGTTTCTGCATGATGGTCGATTATTGTTACGATTACAACCACAGATTACGCCAATAAATTTCGCTTCCGCAAATCATCCACATACTGATAACCATCTATTCAAGGAAAATTTTGCCTTCAGCCTAATGAAATTTAATCCATCAAGTCTGGGAAATTATTTTCCAGAATCGTCAGTGCTCTGGACCAGCTAGACGCGCTAGCAATTCAAAAGCTCCACCTTAAAAATCGATTTACCTTTTTTTTTTCTTGTTACTTTTTTTTGTTTTTCGAGCAAGCAGTATTTGGGTTTTTAATTTTTGTTAAGATGTTTCCATATTTTACCTTTCAGTTTTTTAATGCAATACTTTTCGTTTCATTGTGCATTCGCGATATTTTTTTCTCAAGAAGCCTCAATAATTGGTCTAGAGTTTTCAAACCCAAAAATCTATTTGGATCGCTTAATTTTCATTTATCGGCAAATTTTCCATGGTAGAAGCTATGAAAGTTTTCTCCGGTTTTTCTGCTTCAATTCCTTCTCTAGGATGGGGATAATTTATTTGCTTCATCTAATTTACAATATTGTGGTTGTTTCGTTCAACGAAACAAGTGATACTTAAGGTTCTTACTTTGATTATTTTGCGTTTATTCCTAAATTGTATTTCGTTTTTAGTGCCTCAATTATATTAACCAATCTTCCAGGGTATTTCACATTTTTTGCGCTATTCTGTTTGGCTTTTTTGCGTCTTTTAGTGTCATTAAAATATTTGCTTCCACTTTCGTAAAAAACAGTTTCTTACGTTTGTTCCCCTAAAATCGTTTTGATAAACTTTCGAAAGCGAGCTGCTTTATCTAAATTTTTCTTAAATCTGGCAGTTGCGTTAATAAAAATTGTTACAGTACTTTCCATTAAAAAGTTGTGAGGCAAAATATCAGCTGCCCAAAACTAACTGTTTCAACTTTGGGCGAAATTTCATTTAAAACTGTGGAAATTATGGAACCAATTTGAAATTGAACCCCATTTCAGTACGGGACCGTGCAAAATCTAATCAACTTCTCTTAAAGATTGGACTAATGAGGAGCGGCAAACTTCTAGCAGAAGAAGCTCCCCATGTTCTACTCACCATGTACGGTTGCACGTCCCTTGAGGAAGTTTTCCTCAAACTCTCCAGGAAACAGGCACAAGTGGGCGGGAGTGTTGGAGCGGCCGTAGGACAAACTGATAACAACATCAGCAGCAACATCAGCTTAGCGACACTAAACTGGGGGAAAAAGGAGCCGATTTCCGTAACCGAAGAAAGTGGAGTTGTGGGCTTGAACTTCCACCAAAGCAAAGAAGTGCTTGTCCAGGAATCCAACGGCCATTTAGATGTAAGTCCATACGGGTGGCGCCCTACAGAAGAACACTCAACTAGCGTGCGTTTCTCCAGTTTGCAGGAAAAGCCTCTTCGGCAAAGCATGGGCTTCAAGAGATGTGTGAAGATTGCGGCAACTGCAGCGAATGGACGACCACCGGCAAAATACGGGCGCTTCTGGTGAAGAACTTTTTGAGGATGTGGCGAAATGTGGGCGTGATGTTGTTCATATTTGCCCTGCCCGTGATGCAAGTGATACTCTTCTGTCTGGCAATTGGAGGCGACCCTCGGGGACTGAAGCTGGCTATTGTAAATAACGAAGTTGACTATCTGAACCAAACGTTCCAGTCGTGCGGCTTTGAAGAAGGCTGCAAGTTCTCGAACCTGAGCTGTCGGTATGTGCATGCCATGAACAGCAGCACGATATCCAAGGTATTTTCCGAGGAAAATGTGAGAATTGGGTTTTGTAAATTTAGAAAAATGTTTCAGAACTACTATCCTAACATAGATTTAGCCAAGGACGCAGTGCGCAGAGGAGAAGCATGGGGCGCGGTGCATTTCACCGAAAACTTCACCGATGCTTTAGTGGCCAGAATAGCGCTGGGGAAGGAAAGCGACGAAGAAACCCTCAATCAGAGCGAAATCCGAGTGTGGCTTGATATGTCCAGTAAGGTTGCAGTTAAGCTCAACTTCCCCAACCCAAAAAAACGCTTGAATTGTAGATCAGCAGATCGGCATAATCCTCCAAAGAGATCTGCAGCTGACGTATCAGAACTTCACCAAAGACCTGCTAAGGGATTGCGATCAAAACGAAGGACTAGCTGAGGTGCCGATTTCGTTCAAAAAGCCCATTTATGGATCAAATCAGCCGTCGTTCACAGACTTTGTGGCACCTGGAGTCATACTAACGTAAGCCTGCAATGAATGCCCAAAGAACATTGGTAGTAACAGTTTGCTTGTAGAATTGTGTTCTTCTTGGCCGTCGCTCTAACATCTTCCGCGTTGATCATTGAGCGAATGGAGGGTCTACTGGATCGGTCCTGGGTAGCAGGTAAGACAACTTCCTATTCGCCTGGAAACATTGTGGTAAAACCAATGGAATGAATTTTGCAGGAGTGTCGCCAGGAGAAATCCTCTTCTCCCATGTGGTGACCCAGTTTGTGGTGATGTGCGGCCAAACAACGCTAGTGCTGATTTTCATGATTTTGGTCTTCGAAGTGGAATGCAAAGGCGACATTTTCATCGTAATCATCTTGACCATCCTGCAAGGTTTGTGTGGAATGTGCTTCGGTTTCGTGATATCCGCAATCTGCGAGTTGGAAAGAAACGCCATCCAGTTGGCTCTTGGTAGTTTCTATCCCACGCTGCTTCTCAGTGGAGTGATTTGGCCAATTGAAGGTGAGCAATTTGGGGAGGATTTTTGGCCATCAATGACTGGTTTATGATTTCAGGTATGCCGACGGTTTTAAGGTATATTTCGACTTTCTTGCCGCTCACGTTAGCGACAACATCTCTTCGAGCAATGATGACCAGAGGATGGTCGCTTCTAGAACCAGATGTTTACTTTGGATTCATCTCGACAGTGGTCTGGATAGTGGTCTTCTTGTCGATCAGTTTAATCGTCCTTAAAGTTAAACGAGGCTGAAGGATTGCTGCTCAATTCTTAAATTATTTGCACACATGTTCAGAATCAGTATTTTGAATACCATATACACGGAGATACAAGTTCTTGGTTAAGGTTTGGTCATATTCGTACGGTTAGTGAATGGAATTTTGGAAAATTTGGACTTTTTGCAATTATTTATAACGTGCCTTGCCTTTCCTAGATAATAAGCTGTATAGAAAATCGGTATAGAAACGTAGATTGTAACTAGTGTTAATTTTGTATTTTTCTACCATTTTCCATTTTGGGCAAATCGTAACAAGTCAATTAACAATGTGATTAATCGGGGAAAGTTCAAAATGTGTTCACCTCTCCATGACCATGTCCATGAGTTATTCAAAGAACGCACAACTTGCTTAAATCGACTCGAATTGGACACAATTCGAGAAATATGATTGTCATTATGTTTAATAGCTCACTTTACTACTTGGATATTTACATTTGTGTTCTAAGTGGTCATTATTAAACCTATTAATAGGGAAATTATATTGGAAAATAAAATTGTAAATGTATATGCGTATCGGTCCGTAAGGAATTGTTAAAAACTAAATATAAGACGTGCTCAAATGTTATTTTGTACTTTGTTATTAGTTGTGGTTTGTGATGTATGTGTTTGTTATAGAAAGTAAATCAAATAAAACGATAAGCAAATATTGCGGAGTTTTTGAAAGTTTTTTGTCCGTTTAAGATGATGGAAGTCATAAATGTTTACAAGAATTATTATTTTTCTGCTTAACCAACTGCACAAAACACGGAGTTTTCGTCAAATTTTGGCTTTTGCTGTGAAAAGTGCAAAAGTTTCACAGGCGATGCTTTGCCTCGTAAAAGCGCCAGTTCATGTTCTGTCCAGTGATGCCGAAATAAGGAGTCAATATCAATCCGTTCTAGAGAAATGAGTTAGAAAGTGACGGGAAACATGAAATTTTGGTCTAATCTTGCTACTAAATATGCGAAAAAACGAGCTCTGTGGCTTAACTGGCTTTTAAGAAACGTCTGAAAAGGAGGCGTCCAGTTTCTTTTCCAAGCGATGCTTAACATCACAACAGCGCCATTTAGTGGTGTCGAAATGAGCGCTCCAGCTCAATTTGTTCCTAAAAAATGAGCAAAAAGATGGAGAAAAACATGAAATTTTGACCCAATCTTGCACCTAAATGTGTGATATTTAAATTTCTCTTTTCGTGTGAAAACTGCCACTAATCATTCACTTCCGTTTTTCAGTAATGACGAAAAAGTCAATCATTTTTGAGCGATTTCACAATTTGGTCAAAACCGTGCAACAATAGCCTTTACCTTAAGGTTTTATGTAACAATCCACACTTCAGTTCCATTGAAACCACACCCTTTAAGAGCACAAATATATTAAAAACTGATACAAAAAATAAATAGCTTAATCAACAGACGAATTATGGCTATAATTTAGCAATCCCGTGGTACTCATTGATGCTTTTAGCCGGCGAACTTTGCAAAAGAGGATAGATCTCCTCCCTGATAGTTCCCCTGGACGATTTACTGCTAGTCGATCCAGATAACTGCAAATCCGAAGTTCCGTACTGTTTCCAAGGACAGACCAGTTTCTCTGAACCAGAACTCCATCGCCTATAGACTAACGCGTTGAAGAACGCTTGCAAAGGATTCGTGAAATCCTAGGCAAAAATATTAATAGAAAATTGAATCTTCAATAAACCAGACGTTATACCATAATATGCCAGAGGACAATAACGGACTCAGTAGGCAAACGGAACCACAGCATCCACATGAGGAACCCGTTGATTAGATTGGGCATCCAACAGATGTAAAACACCAAGTTTATCACGCCAAATTTAACTTTGATAGCGTCCACAATGGTTCTTTCCCTGCTGGTGAACTGGCCAGAAGTGCAGCTGATAATATTCCTCATATCTCTGATGGATTTCAGGTATAGAATCGGATTTACCACCATCACAACCAGCATTGGAACATACGTTATAATGTAGTTGGGCAGGATTTGTAAAACAACTGCTCTAGTTGATAGAGCCATGTGGCAGCTGAAATCATCCGCAGTAAGAAAACGGGGGGTTTAACAGTAAATAGATCAAATTAACCCACTTGGCGTTGGGCAAGTACAAAAGCGACAGCCCAGTGATGGTGGAAATCGCAGGAATGGTCCATGCAAAAAAATGGTAATATTTGAAATGGCCCTCTTTTTGGCTCAGCACGTATCTCATGTCTATGGCGTAACATAGCGTCCAAATCCATGTGGAAGTGTAAAAATACTGAGTCAAAGCCTGGAATCGTCAGTATTAAGCCCATGTCCCATGCATCCGTTTATACGATGGTACGATAATACGAAAGTGTTCCTATTGGTTGGAGATCTGTCAATTCGTACTCCGTCGTACGAACTGACAGATCTCCAACCAATAGAAACACTTTCGTATCATCGTACCATCGTATAAACGGATGCATGGGACACAGGCTTTAGTCGCAAGATTCAAAGTTTTAGTCGAATTAAAGAAAACTGAAGCTTCTGACTGGATCCCAGAACCGGTTTCGGACCTATTTGCTCTGATGAGAGCTTTGGGGGCGATGGAGGATGTTTACAGATTTCTATAAGATAATTATCAGCAATTAAAACTTACCTTTGTTTTCTACTTTTCACAGTTTTCGCTCCTTTTTTGCAATATTTATCAGTAATTGGTACCTTAAATATCAATAACAATCAACAGCTGTGTATATTTTGTTTGTCTGTTTGTCATGGCAACCGATACATAAGCCGTCAAACGCACGTTAATTCAATTGTCACGTCAATTGTTGTGTTTTTCGCTGCGCAAAAAGTCCCAGAAAATCCCAGTTTTTTTCGCCCTTTGTGCGGTRAATTGTTGAAKTTTGGAAAATTTATGTCGCTTTCACCGTGTTGTCATATTTTCCTGACCGGTAGCGCGATTTTGGGCAAAAAATGCGACTTTTACACGGAGAAACTGTCTGACGTCTGCTGTCAAGCTAAACCAATGTCTTGTGCTGGGCCACTGAGTACGTTTACATCGCATTARTTAGCGCGCTTGAAACTATRCACTTTTTCGTGTTTTGTCATCTTTTTGATGATTTCGGAGTTGACAATAATGGGTAAGTACCACTTTTATCACGCTCGTCACTCGCATCAACCAGGCTTTGCATAATCATGCAAAAAATATACAGGGTGTTTACAAAATGTCCGTGTCTAATTCAGGGACTGTGTCAGTTGCAAGCCATAAACCCAGCTGATGAGGACTGATAGGTCCGAAACCGGTTCTGTTCGCGTTTGCTTGTGACAATCTGTGTTTACCCAAGTCTTACCGAAGATATCGCACAGAAAAGTACGCTGGAATCATCATCAACTTCAGGCATAATGTTTTTTTTATTTATCCAAATCATCGATCGAGCAAACACCCCTGTAAGAGATGAGTTTTTCGCATACAATATTTTCAACAATTTGGGAAAATTGAAGAAAATCAGTCACTATTTACCCACAGCGGCTAATAGATCGGCTACCGCTAGCCATACGATGATTTTCCGGCCTCGTTCGGTCGAGAACGAAAACCATCGATGACTGTTGCTAAATTGCCTTCTGGGTAGCACCTAGAAAATGTGAAAACCCATTGAATAAAATCGCTGCACGACAATGAATTATTTTATTACATAATGATGTGTCATCGCATTCAATGTTATTGTTAGTATGTTAGTTGGGAAATCCTGCGATTATTTAACAGAACTATTGTGATTTTAACGTCTAATTGATCTGCTAGGTAGACTGTAGGCAATCATTTTATTGGCTCTGATGAGACTCGCAGATTTTCCTGCAAGAGCTTTAAGAAAATGCCAAACTATTCTACATAGACAAAGATTCTAATGGTGGTAAAGTTGAAAATTTCCTCGACCATAACCACGATCTCAGGAAAAGTTCACTGGGAAAATGTTGAGTTAATTTGTTCAATAGATGTAAAAAAATTAAAAAGCAAATGCACAAAACTGCTCACATTCGTAAAAAATAAAGGTTTGGGCCTTCTTAAATAACCGCAAAACCTCATGGAAAATTTAAAAAATCTCAAAAATAGCCTGAGGATGAGTCAAAATCAAAACGTTTTCCACGTTCAGAGCGCAATTCATATTGACAACTTCATTGTGCAAAAAAAATATGGCAAAGTTTTGGCGTGTGTTTAATTCAGCAAGTGATGAGCGCTTTAAAACAGTTTTTCAAAATTAATTTTGCAAAAACTGGGGCGGATGGAGCCTCGCTTGTCAGACAGTTGAAAAGTGGAAAAAAAAGTGTTCTAAAAGTTTGATACGTGGAGGACCAGTTTCTGATAAAATGAATGTCAAACTTTGAAAAATGCTGGAAAATTCCATCCAATCCTGATCATGATGACAAATCGAAATTTTGCCACAAATAAAACAGACGAAATATATAGAAAATCGACTCTCTCGCTTAATTAGTTAATTTAATATTTGGGATAATTAATCCTTGAGAAACAAGTGCCAAACTTCAACCTGCAAAAACAACCTCGAAACTCAAACGCATTTTTGAAAGATTGTCAAAAATTGCCTGATGGTGACTGAACGTAATAGTGCTGACTCATAACCTCACTTCACAACATAGTTTTCCTCGTTTACAAGGAAGCTTAGGTTTCATGTCGCTACGTGATGTTGAAGGAATGTTTTTTGATGAAAAATCTGATAAATCAGTCGAAAAGTAGCATTTCTTCAAGCTAAATTAGTATTGTTGTATGTAGATAAATGGATCTATTTGGAGTATCCCGAAGAAAATTGCACTGTTTGCATGTGCGACATTGAAATACATTTTTGGTGTTGAAGAGCACAATTTAAAAACTAACCACATTTAAATGTAGGTTTAGTAGCTTTTCCTTCATTTCCACATTTCTCCCGCACTCGTAAGCCCGAGTAAACCCCAGTATATACATATAGAAACGGAGAATCCCTCTTGTAATATTCCAGCAGTAAAAAAATCAAACATTGTTTTCCTATATTAATCGTTAGTAATACAATGATCAATTTAAATTCAATTTAACCACCTTCTATTGTGTTCCTGCTATATTTGCATGAATAATTACCATCCAGTCTCGAAATCATCTTGAAGCGCATAAAAAGATTGACTAGTTTACCTGGTAAATGGCGCCGAATATGCCCAGAGCTGAAGAAAACAGACACACAGTATTATAGGAGTCTGGATCAAAATCCTCAATAATGGTCAGAGCCACATCTGTGCCATTTCCATGATGGCAGCAGAAAGTTTGAATGGTTGGATCGGACATGTTTTCGCACTTCTTCGGCAACCAAAGACTAACTCTTTGACGAAACTGTGAGCAACCGGTAACTTAATCTCAGCGAACTGAAGCCTCAGAACTCCGACATGTCTGGGCTGAGTGAAAATCCTGTTTAGTCCCAGAACCTGCTACTGGGTAAAATTCTGTTTGCACAGTTATCAAAAGCCAAAATCTGGTAATAAAGTAAATGCTTGCTTTAATATTTCAATATAATCATATCAGTTAGAGCTTAAGGAAAACTACATTGGCGTAGACTTTGTTTTTATGTGAACTGCACATTAATGTAGCTTCGGAAACTTAAAAAAAAAATAGGAAACTAATTAATGCCAAATTTACTGCTTAGTTTGAATTTTAATTGAACTGACGGGGATTTTTAGGGCATTTATAACGGGATTCATTACGATTCGCTCCACCAGTGGCAACAAGTGAAGATAAACGAATGTCTAAGCAAATAAATGTTTGTAAAATCCCGATAAGGCTGATAAATGTCTGCAACCGAATCCCGAAGACGCTATTCAATTTTTATCAACTGTTTACGATTTATTTTTAGGTCGAAGCCTACAATAATATATCTATTAATTAAATATTAGCTGCATTTATACACAACAACACCGTACTTTTGCACGTCCCGACGATAAGGTGCTCAAATCTCGCCGTTAAAAAAGTTGATTCTATTGTTGCATATTGAAGCCGAGCACTTTTTAATCAACCAAACGAAAAATTTTATTCGTTGTTTCCTATCATATGGGCTGCACTAGAATCCGCAGGTGTTTTGGTTCAGCTGCCTAAACGCCCAATCGATGAGGTGATTGGCTGGATTCGTATCAATGCAACCTTATTGGCTAAGCTAAAAATCGCTGTAGGGTCTGGAAGGAATTTAACTGCTCTGGGTGTTTCAGAACTGTGAGATCAAACTTCTAGGGAGTGTTCAGGGAATCAGCATGTCTCCTTAAGGAGCTGGTGACGCTTAAGACTTTCAAGTAGAGCCATTTTTGAAAATTCTTCACGTTCAAAGTGGAGCGACTGGACACTAGAAATTTTGCCCAGTTCTACCCACAATAGGGGGCTGCACGTGTGCCAAATTGCGATCAAATTGAACAACAGAATTATTTTGCAGGAATTAACAAACTTACAGTTGAGGATCACCAAAAATTTCATGTTGAACAATCAAAAATCCCTCACGTCCAATTGAGGGCAAATGGACAGTTGAAATGTTGTCCAGGTCTAACCAATATCAGTGGCTAGAAATGAGGAAAATTTCAGCGTAAACAGCCTGCAGGCCGACTTTGCAGCAAAAGACAAACTTTGAGTTGTCTGGCAGACATTTTATTTTCAAACCATTTTCAGAAATGTGCTTAGTCCCACCCTGGGTAGGGAGATAATTTGCCGCTTAGCGCATTTATCAACCACACTTTCAGGCTTACAGACTGGTAAGTTTAACTACAATCGGGTTGAAGAGTAAGTTTTAAAAACCCTTCAAACTATAACTTCTAACTAGACGCTAGACTTTCGCGGCAGTTAAGAGCGGATGATTTGCGTTTCGCTGTTAAAAACTTTAAAGCAAATCGCAGTTTAGGCTGATTTTTCACAAAGTTCCTTAAGGGGACGTTTCAGAGCAAGGGTTCTTCTACTGTTGATGCCCTAAACACTCCCTAAAAGTTTGGCTCCATAGTTCAAAGATATCCTGCAAAAAAAGTGGTTGAAGTAGACACAGATTAGAATATGTGTTAATCTCAGGCACTAACCGGACCGGTTTTAACTAGCAACTGAACCACCTGCAAATTGATCGGTTTTTAGAATGGGTTCATAGGGAAGATGTGAATTGAATGCGGGACATTTGAATGATTAGAAAAATAAATCTTCCAATTGCAAGCAATCCAGCAAGGTCAAGTGGTGATCGAATATCTGCAGGTACAAAGCATTGTATCAACGAAAACCGGAGCCCGCTTAACGCTATTTACCGGAACAAATTATAATTCACTTAAGCTGTTGAGGTACACCTACCAGTTTAACATAGCGCGCCAAGACACCATGTTCCTACCTTAGGTGAACGCACTTAGTCCTAGTAAAGTCGCCAGTTTGCTTGTTGCTACTTTATCAGTTTGTTATTGCGAATCCTTTGGGAATAATGTACGTAAAAGTGCTGGGATTTGTGGCCCTTCTGAGCCTAGTGGACGCCGATAAGAAAAGTTGTGCGAGAATACAAGTGAACAACCAGAAAGTGTATGGAGAGTGTTGTGTGTTTAAACGACATCCTGGGGATGAGGATCTTTCGGAGTTGCTGCAGGAGGCTTTGATTAAAAAGCATCAGAACCTAGATCACGTTCATGAAGGGAAGCTGAGCTTCATCCCCGTCCCCAATGAGCATCAGCATGTTCATTTTCATGGAATGGCGCCTTGGCAACCGATGGGCCATGGAATGGGCTTGAGGATACCGATTCCGCCCTCTTCGCAGGAGAAAGTTGATAAATCCACCACCACTTCAGAAGCACCGAGCGACTTTTCCACCACCCAGTCTCCCGAGGGTCTTTCAGAGGAAAGTTCTGGTGATCTTCCATTGCCAACTGATCCACCCTCCACTCCGACTAAATTGGAGTGTGATCAAGCTACTGATAGTGAAACCGGAAATTTGACTGGAAAAACCATATTGGACAACAGAAATGCGGTTGATGTTCCTTTCAATGCCTGCCCTAGCGGGCAGGCCAGAGACGCCAGTGGGGAATGCGTTAGCTCCTACTAATTCATGCTTTGTTAAGGAAATAGTTACTTATTTTAATAAAAATTTTAGTAAGTTTTGTGCCTTTTTGTATACATATTTTTGCATGGAGGGCCCATTGGGTTCTGAGTTTCTGAGCCTTCAAAATTGTTGTAAGAAATATTGCCCAGACTGGGCCTGATTCGCTGATAGATTTGCGAAATTTGCAGGATTTTTCTAGCTTCGGGTGGTGGATTGTTTGAAGAGAAAGATTTTCTTAATAGCACCTAATTTTGACTAAAAATACAAAAAGTCATCAGAGTTGTGATCGGTTAAAAATAAAACGTTTTTTGTTCAATCTGCGACTGTCGGCCTTTAGCAGTCGCTCTAAATTGCTTGAGATCTACCGGTTTGATGTTTTTTCTGATGAGAATCCGTAGAGGATTCTTAGCGATCTTTGAGAGTTCGAGAATTCTAAGCGTTCCTTATTCTCTCTATAAATCAGGCACAATTTTTCAGCCGAATTTTGGCGCAAAAATTCGTATTTTCATTGTTTAATTTTAGAAAATATCACGCTTCTGAAGTGGTTGAAAATATTAAATCAGTAGCAAAAACAGTCAGGGGCGGATTAAAGCTTTATAAGGCCCGGGACTGCAATGAATATGGGGACCACTTAAGGGCAGTAAAATGGGAACATTTTTTGAATGATCTTCAATGAAAGTAGTAGTACGATTCTTTAGAAGGCAAATTGATTATGGAAAATAAAAAAAAAAGCTACAATCGGCAGTTTTTTTGGTTTTTGTGAGTACACAGCAAATGAACGGATTTTAATTTAGTTTGCCCCATATTGAAGGTATTTTTAATACTTGAAAAACACCTTTTTTCAATAGCATCAATGGTTCAAAAGTCGCGCGCTCAAAAACCGGTTTTTGCACTTTCTTTGATTATTTATACAATTATTAGATATTTTTTTTCTTTAATGGGTTTCAGTCAAAATGTTCATATCGTGTATTTCATATAACGTTTCGGCGAGACAACAGCGCCATCATCAGATTTAAAATTCAACACAAACCCATAACTGGGAAACATTGGATTCTTTGCAGCCTAAAAACAGGCATTTTTGAGGAATTATTGGATGTTTTGGTTCTTGTCTCGGAAACGATCAAAAATTGCGAAATAAAAATGCGAACCTTTTTTACTCACCACTTCAAAAGCTGTATTTATTCCTAATCGTTTCAGAGTTAAAGGCAAAAATGTTCAATTTTTGCACGTAAATTTCAAGATTTTCAAGTATTGAATAGAAGAGATTTACTTTGCCCTAATGAAATGTTTCCAGAGATTCTTATTCGTTTTAACGTTAGGAGCAAAAATATAAAATTGCACTTCATAAAATTTAACTTAAAATCTGGAAGTTTATTAGATTTTTTTTAAGTTTAAAAGGGTTTTATGCAAACCTTTTCAAGAGCAATCTTTCTTTCATCCGGTATAAAACAAAATTCCAAACTTGCAATGAAATTGATCCAAAATTAGGCAATTTTGAAGAGCCGTTGAACATTTTGGCTCATACCTCAAAGGCTCAATTTTGGCTTCACCTACTAAACATTTTCAAAAATCTCAATTGTTTGAGAAAAAAATTTTAAATATCCATTTTTGTCGAGTAATCTCTAAAAATGCAAATTTTATAGTTTCTTGCAAGTCCGTCTTCAATGTAGTTCATGAGTATGGAACTGGGCCCGGCATCTAGGGAATTGAACTAAAAACATCCGCACTCATTCACCATTGCATAGCGCCAATGGAAGCGTTTTTTTGCTGTGTGAAACTGAAAATTTTCAGATTTCTTCCCCATTTGCTTGAGTCCTAGTTGATAGGAATATACAGTGGTGTTCAGAAGTGTATCAATCACCAGATTCGTCAGTAAGGGAGTGTACGTGAATGGTGTGTGTGGTGCGTTTAAGTGCTGTTCTTTAACTAGTTTGATATGTTGTTATCATAAGTTTATCGTTATCAGGTGTTATCTTCTATTTATTTGCTCAACCAGCAGTTATTAACAGGTATAATAACGTGGGAAACTTGTAATTCTATACAATAACAAACAGTCTATTTTAAGTTCATTACTAATGAAGGTTGCCTTTCGTCCCAGAATGAATCCTCCTTGGCTCTTAGAAGATATTCAGTGCTTCTTTGATCAGACACCTTTGAAATTTTAAGCTTCATTTCCTCTGCCTGCGCCCCCCAGTAGCGCCAGGCCACATTGAGGCCTCCACTCAGGCCAACTCAGGCTGGCGTAGGGGACAAATTTCTATGTAAACAATTCCCTTAAAAGTAGCTGCATTCATGTAAATGCAGCCACAATCGTGAAAAATGAACTTGAAGAACCAGACCGTGCTTTTAAAATATCATCTGGTCGATTCATTCGAAATGCATAAAGTGTGGAGGCGTTTATTAGGTGGCACAAGACATGCAACCGATTGTGAACACGGTTTCACTTTTCCTCTCATAATGCCTGGCAAATTGTTTAATTTGTCTTGAATCTATGAAGGTTTTGTCATCTTTCCTGGAAAATGCAGACGATTCATGAATCAATGCTTTCCATGAGTCAGGCTGCCAAAAATAGCAGCTTCGTTGAGGAACTGATGATTTTTGCGTGTTTT